TTGAGTTCGTACAGGGTTTTGTAAAGAGTTTAAAGCTGGGTGTATTTTCATCCTGACTTTGAAAGCCTTTGAAGTTGGATGGGGTCTGGTCTCATTTGTTTAACTTCTGAAGCTGTAGCACCAGGGCCAGATACTTGCTCATGGTCACCCCCTGGGTGGCCTGTTAAGAAGGCCAGCCACTCAAGGCTGTGGACTTCATTCTCTTCTTGCTGACATTACTAGCATGAATGAGATGGCTTCTGATAATTCTCAGCAATTTAGCCCAGGTTAATACTGGCCAGTAATTTCCTGAAGTGCCATGAAATGGCAGGAACATGATTTATGTAACATGGGCTCCTGCTAGCTGGGATGAGCACTGGAGGCCCAGCTGTGCTTCTGGAATTTTGAATGCCTGTCAGAGGAGCTGCTTTTATTCCAGAGAGGCCCCCCTTTTTTTTTAACCATCAAGGGAGTCCCCATGCTGATGAATGAAGAGGTGCAGGGCTGACTGGCTAGTTGTGGATCTTTCCCTAGCAGCTCTTAAAGACACCTGGGATTGAGGGCATTTTGGCCGGCTGACAGCTGGGTTGAAAGTACTGAATTAAAATATAAAAGTGATGAGTGTGTGGGGAGGAGCATAGAAGAAGAAGTACTTGGCGATCTAGCGGATTAGATCTGTCTTCTCTAAGGTCGGCACTTGGACACACGCAAACCTCGTATGACCCCAGCGCCTAGGAGCCTGCACTTAATCAGCCAGACCCCATTCACATTAGTGTTGCCGGCATGAGAAGAATGATTGTGGGAGGCCAATGTTAGGAAGCTGATGAGTTTTTTGACTTTGGGCTTTGGAAGAAGCACAAACAGCCCCTAGAGTTTAAAGCTTGCCTAGTGAAGAAGCAGCTTTGGCCCTGAGGCTGTGGCTTTAAGGATGCTTAGTTACTTTTGGGCCTCTGAAACCAGGCCCAAGACAGATGATGGATTCATTGTCCTCCACAGCTTTGTAACTCAGACTCAACTAAGTCTCTCTGTGCCTATTTCTGCGCTGCCCATGTAAGTATATTCATAATGGCTCTAAAAGGTTTTAAGAATTCCCCAGAGGAATCTAGAGGGGATAGAGGGACATTCTTGATAGTTGAGGAGTGTTGATCGTATCTCCTGGTTGGGTGCTGTATTGGCTTCTGCTTAGGCCAGAACCTTCTTGCTAGTTACGTTGTGTTCTCTGCTCACCTTCCTGCCCTTACTCCCCATTATTTGAAAACATTTTAATTGGGTTTCAGAAATTTTGCGTCATATATATGGGATCCAGACAGCTAGTTTTTGTCTGTGTGTGTATGTGTGTGTGTGGGGGGGGAGGTAAAATATACAAAACATAAAATGTACCATCTTACCCATTTTTAAGTGTTTACAGTTCACATTGTTGTGCAACCAATCTCCAAAACTCCCTTCATATTGCAAAACTGAAACTATGTACCCACCAAACAGCAGCCCTCATTCCCTCCTCCCCGTAGCCCCTGGGAACTGCCATTCCACTTTTCTGTTTCTATGAGTTTGACTTTCCTAGAAAGTCATATAAGTGGAATCATACAGTATTTGTCTTTGTGTGATTGGCTTATTTCACTGAGCTAATGTCCTCAAGGTTCATCTATGTTGTAGTAGGTGTCAGGATTTCCTTCCTATTTTTAAGGCTGAATAATATTCCATTGTGTGTATATATCCCATTTTACTTATCTACTCATCCATCAATGGGACTTGGGTTGCTTTCACCTCTTAGCCATCATGAATATTGCCACTATGGATATAGGTGTGCAAATTATTTAAGATCTCTCTTTTAATTCTTTTGGATATACCCACAAGAGGAATTTCTGGGTCATATGATAAATCTATTTTTAATTTTTTGAGAAACCACCGTAATGTTTTCTATAAGCAGCTAGATTCTTAAGAAATGCATTTAAATTAGGTTATTTATTTATTTATTTCTGGCTTTGATCTCTACACTGCCTTGAGTTGACCCTGGGTAGGTGAGTTTCTTAGTCATTCACTCGTCCCAGCATACCTCTGAGCATAGACATACTATTCATGGCTCACTGTGGCCCTTGAGGGTTGGTGTCTTTTCATTAGATTAGACCAAGAAGAGGACAACCTTCTCAGGACAAAGGGCTAAACAGTGGAGAGGCAAGTTGAATCCTAGAAGGTCAGCTGAAATGCTTACCTGCTGCCATGCTTCTCACACTTGTGCTCAGACAAAGGTTGGGGTGACATGACAACCTCCCACAAAATCTGGTGGAGTATGTCTGGGTGTTTTCCTCCCAAGCCTTTCCTCTTTAGAGTGGTATCATTGGAGAAATATGTGAAACAATAACCCACTACAACCCCATACTACTATATATTTCAAGGAAAATTGACTAGATCAGGAAATGAGCTGCTTGTGGGTCATAGTACTAAACAGTTCTGTGTGCATGTAGACGGTGGGGTGTGAAGGATGGGGAGGGAGAGAGAATCTGTAGATCTTTCTACACTCCATTTATTGTAGTAGTTGGGGTTGGTGGTTTAGTCATCTTTTCTCCACGTGGGTCCTTCCATACTGAGGCCTCAGGCATACAACACTATCAAGGACCAGAGTAAGGGTCTTTTGCCATTTCTCTTCCATCACTGTAGAATCAATAAGGGCCAGGAAGGGGATGACCAACCTATTGTATGTGTAGTGGCCTGCCCAGTCTTTCTGTCCCTGGCTTGTGGATGTGATCATTAGCTGACTCCAGGTACATTCCCTCCAAGAGCTTAGCCAGTAAGCTATTTGGTAAAGTCTACCTTTCAGATTGTTAGAGGCTTTACTTAGTTTGAGGCATGAATTGTGCCTGCTGCCTGATGCCCTTTTCTGTCCACATCTTCCAAGACCAGTTTAAGCATTACTTTGTGAAACTTTTTAAGGCTTTTTCAGATTCCCTTCTGTCACCACCCCGAGCAGGGTAGTCACTGCCTCTTCTGTGCCCCATTTTGAGGTAATGTCATAATGATGCCTGACCAATTGGATTGTAGTTAGCTGTGGCAGTCCCTCCTACGAGACTTTATCCTCCTCTGTACAAGTGCCATATTTTAGTTTTGTCTGTCTCCCTCAGGACCTTATGAAGCATTTGGTATAGCACTGTGTCTGTGGCAATTGTCTGGTAAATATTTGATTTGTCTACAGGTGACTAATGCTGTGGGATTGAGCAGAATTCGTAGTTTAAATCATGAACATGGCCCCAGGTAGCTGTTTGACCACATGCAAGCCACACACTATCTCTTCCTCCTACGCCAGATCGTATAAACTGAAAGAAAAAAAAAAACCATTAAGTTAAAAAATATTTACACTCACTATGTGCTAGGTATTTTGCTCAGCACTTACATTACCTCATTTCATCTTAGGGTAACCCAGTGTAGATAATGAAACAGACACGGAGAAGAGAGGTTATCTGCTCGTTTCAAACCCAGGTAGTCTAGCCTCTGAGTGTAATATATTTGTTTTTGCATGAGATTAGTGAACTGATGGTTTGGTTACAGCCTTGCAGAGCTGGGACATACTCAACGTCACCAGCTTTGGACCTGCAAAGCTGTGAGATAGGAAATGAGCGGAAAGACCCAGGGGGAAAATGAGTCCTTGTATGAAAGAACCAGGTTTCAGTGGGAACGGAGGGAGTGACTAGTGCAGGTTGGACCACAAAGAAGGTCGTGTGCTGTTGGAAGAGGTGTGAGAGACACAGGTGCCTCAACAAGGAAGGAGGGGGAACTGAGGGAGAATGGGCCCCAGGGGAGGAATTCCGAGGATGAGGTGAACAAGGTGGCTGGAGAAGACAGGTTTCCTACCAGGAGGGGCCTAGGTTTTATGTAGCCTCTGAGGAGGACGGGGGAGTGGACAGGAGGACAGGCCTGGTGGGCTTAGCTAGTCTCAGGCTCCAGGTGGAATACAGGCCATCTGTGTAGACCAGGCTTTGGGGTGTGCAGACCATGGAACATATGTGAGGCAGAGTGTGGGCACACGTGCTCATTTAGGCTTCTGCTCTCATCTTGTGCAGAGAAGAGGGGGAAAAAAGTGCACGAAGGAAAAATTAACAAACATCCCAAGTCTCTTGACACACAGATCAAAACATATTGATGGTGTCTTGCAACTCTGATAATTTCCTTGAACTGTATGAAGCTTAACGACTGATACATCGGCATCCCCCTGATTAACATTAAGTGCTGCTGTCAGTCTGACATAGCTGGGTAAACCAGTATTGAATAATCTACTAAAGATGTCACACTTGAACAAGGAGTGTAAATCATATTATTTCCGCTGTAATTAGGTGGGAGATAAAATCACAAATAGACGAGTTTAGTGAATATTTCTTAGTGTGTACACAGCGTCACTGGAATTTCTGTTCTCGCTCCATGGGGAGAAAGAAGTTGACTGCCTTCCAGGTATTGACTGCTGTCCAGGAAGTGGGAGGTTGAGGGGTGACTTATGTAATGTTCACAGAGTGGGTTTTATTTATAAATTCAATGAGATTAGCTGCAATCTTCCTGAAGTTAATGGCAATGGAAATGCACCATTTTGCATTTAGCTGGAAATAGCTGGCTCTCCGGCTTGCAGACCTAATTGTTCCTCAGGTTCTGATATGTTTGCCTTTCTATCTGCTCCCTGCCCCCCCTTTCCTGGGAGCTTCCTGCTGACTTTATTGTCTGGGAATTAATGATGCAGACCAGAGCTTGTGGGTGACAGGGCGGCATACTGCTCAGTCCTTCCTTGCTCCTCTCTCCCAACCCTGAGCAAACTCGATCACTGAGAGTAAATGAGGGACATAAACCAAGGCGAAAAAGATACAGAAACTGTGTTAGGAGGGTCAAAATGAACCGAGCTCTTGCTAAGAAATGGAGATCATTCTAGTCCTTCCTTCACGGGGTTGTGGTGACGGGTAGACTCACGTTAAACCTTCAGAGCGGTGCCACCACGCAGCAAGTGTTTGAGTACTTCCCAGTTGCTTTCATTATTATATGAAAAATAGTTAGCGTTTGTGGTGGATGGTCAGGGTGGTATGAATGCGAAATTCAACAGCACAAGCAGGTATCTGACCGGAATGGTTGTCTTCTTCCAAATGGTTGGTGTGGTGACACAGGAAGGTTAGGAAGTGGTAGTTCTCATTTGGGACTGTTAACGTGGCAGAGCGTGTTATGAGCAGTGTACACTGATCGTCTTTTTATTAAGAGGCTCTGGTCTTGATTTTTATCTTTTTTCGGTTGGTTTTTCAAACGTAGTTCGATCCATTTCCAGTGATTCTGTAACATAGCATCTTTTACGCTTTTTCGTTGCGAGGACCTTAGAACCTTCTGTGGGTGTTGCCATCATTTAGCAGACAGTTAGCAAATGCCTATAATGTAGAAGGTATACATGTGTGAAGATTTTTGTATGAAGGGTTTGCTTCAGGTCTACTCTACCTGGGATGCTCTTCTCATCCCCGAATTCACAGGGATTTCCTGAAAGACAGAGTTGCTGTGGCAGGGGACATTGGTGGCTGCCTGAGACATCTTGAGATGCCAGCCTCTTGGCTCCAACTATCTTGGCGCCAGTAGTTTTGGCTTGAGCCACCTGTACTCTTTGGCCTGAGCTCCGTGGCTTTAGACGCACTTGTCCTGTTTCTCCTGAGTCAGGCCTTGCAGAACGCCACGTACAAGACCCTTTGAATTTCGGGGAGAGAGTGCTTTCTAAAGCGGGGATTTCCAGAGACCTGTGAGAGAACAACAGAAGACTGACATTTCCCTTCCAGGCCAATTGCTTGTCTCCCATTACTTAGCATAATAACTTTCAGCTGCAGGGCACCTGGGTATCTCAGTTGGTTAAGCGACTGCCTTCGGCTCAGGTCATGATCCTGGAGTTCCGGGATCGAGTCCCGCATCGGGCTCCCTGCTCGGCAGGGAGTCTGCTTTGCCCTCTGACCCTATCCTTTCTCATGTGTTCTCATTCTCTCTCTCTCTCAAATAAATAAATAAAATCTTTAAAGAAAAAAAAAGGAGGAAAAAAAAAAATCTTATCGTTAACTCTCACCTTGCTCTCCTACCCCATAAGGCTTTTGTTTGGGAGAGTGCAAATCAGTTCAAAGAGACTGTATTGAAGGGTGCCTGGGTGGCTCAGTTGGTTAAGCGACTGCCTTCGGCTCAGGTCATGATCCTGGAGTCCCGGGATCGAGTCCCGCATCAGGCTCCCTGCTCGGCGGGGAGTCTGCTTCTCCCTCTGACCCTCCTCCCTCTCATGCTCTCTGTCTCTCATTCTCTCTCTCGCAAATAAATAAAATCTTAACAACAACAACAAAAAATTGCTTTAAAAAAAAATAACTTTCAGCTGCATTTAGAAGGACTTAATGGCACCATTTAAAGTTAGAGGATAAATGTAAAACCAATCTGTTCACTAACACCAATTAGTTGTACTTTAAAAAAGATGATCTCACATAAAGCAGGAATAGGTTGCTGCTTGAAGGGACTAAATGGTCACTCGGCTTTAGAGTAGATCACCAAAGGAAATGTGGCTTCACCTGCTGACCCCTGAGTGCAAGGAGATGCATGTTCTGTATTGGAGAACTGGGGAGGGCCCAGACCCACGGAGGCAAGGAGAACGGGGTACACCTCACCCCACAGTCACCCTGCGATAGTGCACACGTGGCTTCTGGACATCTGTGTTTATAAACCATCTTCCACTGCTGAAAATCTCCTAGGGCACCCAGAGGTCTTTCTACACGTGCCCATAGATTTTTCTTTGAAAATTTGCCATTGTGTTCTGTGCCCTTTTTTCAAGAGTATTCTTTCCTACAGTGTTAGCAGGTACCTAAAGAGGGGAGTGGTGAGAATGTGGATCTGGTGTTCCAGAGGGAAAGGTGCTTGGCTTTAAGACACTTGGTGAAAAACATGCACTGAGTGCTGCTAGGTCCCAGGCACTGTGGTGAGTGTGGGGGTTACAGAAGAAGTAAGCACTGTTTCTGCTTCCCCGGAGTTCATGGTCTAGCGTGGATGGTCTCAGTGCGCCAGGGGAAGGGGCACGAGGTGTGGTACTAGCACAGAGGGGCAGTGTTAATTCTGTGGGGACATGCAGTGAGGCTGTCTGGGAGGACTCTGCAGTTGAGGTGGGTTTGGAGGACAGTGGGGAGTTTGCCAAAGAGACAAGAAGACCGATCAACAGGACAGAGGGACAGTGGTGCTTGGGAGGACTGGGAGCTGGGAGTATAACTCAGAGATAGGGAGTTTTGGTTTCAGGTCTACCTCATACCTGTGTGCCGTGTGACCTGATCGTTTACTGAGAATGGAGCGAAATGGGATCCTCCTATCTCCCTCCCTTTTGTTTGGCACAGGAAGCTGGACTTCATCCAAAATTGTGATCTTGTCCAACCTCTGGATAACTGAGGCTTGTAGAGCCTAGGGTATATACAGCCGGTTCAGTCTGATCCACATTCAGCTCAGACGTTCACATTAGTCCAGGGCTGTTTTGGCTGCCTTACATCCAAGGTGTTACTTTGGTTGCTCTCTGTTGGATTCATTCCTTCTCTCATTCGTTCAGTAAATGTTTACTGAGTTGGTTATACACAACAATATAGTCTGATAGGAGTATAAGGGCCTTCCTGTCAGGGAACTTACAGTCTTAAGGTGGGAATTACCTTTGAAAATACAGGCTGGAATCAGATTATGAAAAGGCAGACCAAGGAGTTAGGACTTAATGATTTACACCACTCAAATGAGAGAGGATGTCAATGAATTTCTGAATTTATAGCCCAAGGCAAATCTTTTTGATTTCTGTGTTCCTTGACTTTATTTATTACTGTAGGATAATGCTTTAGCGTATTTGAATAAATTTTAAAATGCACACATAAAGGTAGGCTTTATAAGCCTTGCATTGTGTGAGAGAGTAGAGTATGTAAGAATGTGGTCTCCAAGAGCCAAGCAGTCTGGTTTTGAATCCTGGGTCCACTATATGAGACATGTGGCCTTGGACTATTTACTGAAACTCAGAGCATCTCTTCCTTCATATGGAAAATGATGATGAAAATAATACCCACATAAGAGTTATTATAAGGATTAAATGAGCAAATGCAAATGAAGTGTTTATTAAGGTACCTGGTACATAGCAAGCATTTAGTAGGTATTAGCTGTCATTGGGGAGTTACTTGATTGAGCCCCGACTTGGTCTGATTTTTCTCTGGTGCTCTAGAATAGCGTAACAGTTCCTGAATCTGTTGGTGCATCAAAATCATTCAGAGGGCGTTTTAGACTAACAGCTTAGAGATTTCCAGTTCTGTCCAGATAGAGTAGCCGCATTCCTCCTAGGTCCTCCCCCTTAAACTGAAAACCTTGGACATAATACAACAAAGAAGCACATGAAGTCTCTGAAAGGTAGAAAGAAGAGGGCAGGCTGCCTAGGACCTGAGGACTTGAGAAACAACAGGGCAGGTGGGTCCCTTGGGTTTGAGTATTGACTCCCATATATCTCAGACAGGGTGCTACAGAAACCTCCCAACCCGGAATCACCAGGAGGCACAGATCAAAAAAGCTCTAAGAGTAAAGCCTGTTTCCCCCTAGCCAGAGGCCTGGGAAAAAGGTGGGCTAACAACAGAAAACCTTTTTGGCAATACTCTCCCTAACTGCAGCCAGATACCAAGGGAAGAACTCTCCCCTTCCATCCCCGCTGCTTCAGCCTGGCCAAGCAGGAAGTTGAGCTTCCACCTTGCCCCTTGGAAGCAGACCGCACTTCAGTTCCCCTGGGGTGTGGTGTCTGCACAGCCAAGCAGGGCGCTGATCTTCCAGTCCCCTCTGCGTGGAACTAGGCAGTGCTTGGGGGCAGGGCCATGGGTGTATCAGTCGGGTCCACCTTTAAGGGGAGCTTTCATTCCCCTCCTGCCCCTTCCCGAAGCACCCTGAGTCAGCCCTCTGCTTCCCCTTCCCTGGTGACAGTGAGGCTTAGGGGCATCTGATCTCACACCCTCCGTTGTGGAGGTAATGAGGCAGTGCCCCGTTTTTCCTGGGAAGGTGTCAGTGGGCCAACTTCCACCCTGCCACCTGCAAGCTGGTGAGGTGACTCAGTGCTCTACTCTTGCCAGGCTCATGTTGGCAGGCCCAGGAGGAAGCAGAATCTATATACAATCTACAAAAACATTTCAACAGGGACACTGCCTGCTAACTAAAGATGTCCTTATAAAAAATCCTAAGAACCAAGAAAATTACAGCATGGATGAGAACAGCCAATAGCAGACACCAACACTGAAATGAATCAGATGTTGCAATTCTGACAAGAATTTTAAAGCCGCCATCATAAAAATACTTCCATCAAGCAATTATTGTTAATATTTTGAAACAAATTTTAAAAATGAGAAATGTCAGCAAAAATCTATGGGCTCAACACGAGGGGACTTTGGGGGATGATGGAAATATTACATATCTCGTCATGTACATATTTGTTAGACTCATCAAAGTGTATATTTAGAGCCGGTAAATTACACTTCAGTAAGGTTGATTTATAATAGTGCGCGGGGCCAGTCTTCACCCCTAGAGATTCTGCCTGGTTCAGTAGATCTAAGACGAAGTCCAATATATATATTTTTTAATTAATGCCCCTGTTGATTCTGATGTGGCTGGTGGCTCTCGGGAGCTCCTGATCTCTCTGGAGTAATCTAGGCTAGTTGTGAATTCTTCAGAATATAAATCTGTTAGAAATCTGTGCAAATAGAAACTTGTTCTGGTAAATTATAAATTACCAGATAAGTACTTGCAGAATAAACAGAATACATAATTAGAAACCATTAAATGTCTTATCCCCACATGGAGATAATTTTTTGTATGTTTTTGTTGGGTAATGTAAAGAATATTACATGGTATCCTGAGAAGTCTACATTGTGATCGTGGGACCTAAAAAAAAAAAACTGCACGGTGGTGTGTTTTTGGTTTATCTCATACTTGGGCCACACCTTCCTCTCCCATCCTCTGAGGGCATTATCTTCTTGTTGGCTAATGCAGGATGGAGTCCACATTGGCTTGTGCAAGGTGCCGCTGCCTTGAAGGTCGTGGTTCTCATCAGTACCTCCCTGGGGGTGGTGCTCTCTGTCCCACCATCCTGCTCTAAACAGACGCTGGGAAATGGTTCCTAACCCAGTATTACAGCTTTTGGCCTCTCCCTTTGGCTTCACTTTAACCTAGTGGCTACATGTTGGGTTTTAGGCTGGGTTTTTTAATCCTGCCAGGGAATCCATGGGCTGTCTCCTACTGATGGGCTATTTCCAACCCCTGGGTGAGTCAGGCCTCCTTACACTCCTTACTGTCCCCTTGACAGCAGTTTGGTCTGACTGGTACACCTTGATGCGTATAGCACAGTGGCTAAGACTGGATGTGAGCGGGGGAGGGAGTCGTCTTAGGGAATGCTTTCATCCCAGAGCAGCTGGATCTTCTGTCCTGGAGCAGAACTAGCAGAAACCCCATCAGGAGGTTGGCTGCTTGTGTCTCCTGCCTGGGCCAGGTGAGCTGCCAACACTCCCTGGATGCTAGAAGGAAAGTCCTTTTTCGAATCTGGTACCAGATTTAAAGCAAGTCATGACTGGGTGTCAATATGTTATTCCTGATAGCTTTTCTGTTTTGGTCCTGCACCCTTGGAAATACCCCGTGTCTGGTTTCTCTGCTTTTAAATAATAGATGCCAGAGATTGGCCCTTCATACTCTCTCACTCTCTCTGTCTCTCTCTCTCTCCCCCTGAATTCATTGTGGGATTCCCCTGTTCTAGCCAGAGCTGAATCTGGTCCTTCCTGGGGTCACTCTCCTAGTCTCCAGTCTTTTTAAGTACTCAGTGCTTACTTAGCTGGTCTTTGTTTCCATTGCGTGTTTTTGTATGTGTCATGCTTACGGTCATCAGATGACTAGTGTCAGAGGAGGTCAGACACTGTTACAGCTTCTAACCGTGTTGATGTTTTGGTAAGGGAATTATCTGTGGGGGGGGGGGAATACGCACTGGGAATCTTCAGTCTGCATTAGGAGGGATAACACTTGAAAAATGTGCGCACAGTAGTGCTCTCCAAATATTTACGTGGATTGTGGTTTCTAAGAGGGATTAGTCAGTTTCTTCTTTCCTCGTGTAGAACCAGGACTAGTAATAAGAAAGAGAAGAGAAATGCATCATGGCCCTGTTTCTGGAAGAGCATTCTGACAAGACTTTCCAAAGTGTAAGTCAGTCTTACGTCACTGAAGGTATTCACGGAAGGTTTGGGTACGGCAGAGAAGGTGGGGCTATCAGGGAACTTTTCAGAGTGTTTTCAGATTTCATCCTCTGGTTCTTAAGAAAACGGAAGCCATGAATGCTGCGTCTGTGGCATCGTTCCTGGGTAAAGGTCTGACTTGCTCGCTCGCTCAGTAGACCAGGGAGTTAGTAACAAGGAGTCACTGTTTCCTTAGGCAGCCCCGAGAGCGCTGAGATAGAAGGAACATGATGGCACACTTGTGTCTTGTCCTGCCTTTCCTTTGAGAGGCCCCTGGCCATAGTACCATTCCCCAGAGTGCTCTGTTCTCATCATGTGTGGTGTACACGGCCTTTCCCAGCATCTCTGTTGTTTGGCCTATGGGAGAAAATAGGAGTTAACTGACCATTAATCCTTCCTGGGACTGAGGCGGACCACTTCCTCAGTAGTGGGCCCCCATCCCCATTCATGATGAAGCTTCTCTCAACTGAGGCCAAAAATAAACTGGGAAAGTGGTGGTTTCAGTAACCGTCATAACCTCTCCCTCGTACCCCCTACACTTACTCACCCTTGTGTGGTTAAAACAACTCAGCGTGTTTGGAGGAATAATAAAGGCACGGTCTCTAAGGGAATTTTAGAGGTGCATGTCTTACTGTAGCTTTGTGGGCATTTCTAGGTGACCCCAGCTGTGTGACCGTAAGTGAGCCAGTGTGTGAACATTTTAATAAGTGGAAGGTCTTCTTCCCGACCCATGCTGTTTTCTAATTGGTCACTCAGGGGTTTCTAGTCCCAAACACTCCCAGGTTTTCTGGTTGTGTTGTGGTATGTGCGTATGTGGTGCTGATAGTCACGTATTGGAATAGTTGTGTTTATTTCAAATTGTATTACCTAAGTGTTTTTCTAAAGGATATTTGTACACTTTATAGTTCAAGAAAATACTTTGGTTTCATTGAAGATGTTGCTCTCAGGTCCTGGTAGAAACAGCTAACATTTCTCGAGCAGTTCCTATGAACATTTTTCCTTTTATGTAGACAATAACATAACGTTTTCCCTGAAAAGCTAGGTCTTAGAATAGAGCTCTGTAGACACTGCTGTTTTACTCTGAGGCATTTGAGGCTTGATGCCTAAGACATATTTGTATCCGTAGTGATTTCCAGCACAGTGCTTTGGGTTTGATAGGTGATCAATAAGTGTTGAATTTTGTTGAATATAAAATTGCTTTCAAATGATTTTTGTTTTCTTTTAAAAAGTAGATGTTGAAGAAAACTTTCCACTTCAGGGTGATTCCTTCTAAACCTCCCCTTTGTGACACTCAATGAAAGGAAGAGGATGTTTGGGTATTATGAGAGAGCTGACCAATGTGGGGTGGGAGGGTATTTGCATTTCAGCGGATTTCTGCAGACCGATCATTCATGGCAGTTCATCCAGGGCTCTCCCCTTTCTCCATGGAGGGTGTGGGTTGTGTTCCATATGGAGCCTTGGTCATGATAACCCAATAAATATTAATGAAGCTCTGACTTGTGTAAGGCACAGTACTGACTGCAAAGATACATAGAAATAAATAAAAAATAGAGCTTCTGCCACTGAGAATCTTGTCATCTAACTGGGAAGGCAAGAGGTAAAATGACTTTAAACTTAACTGTAACATGGGTGCCTGGATGGCTCAGTCCGTTAAGCATCTGCCTTCGGCTCAGGTCATGATCCCAGGGTCCTCGGATAGAACCCACATCGGGCTCCCTGCTTGAGGGGAGCCTGCTTCTCCCTTTCCTTCCTGCTCATGCTCTCTCTCTCCTTCTATCTCGCTCTCAAATAAATAAAATCTTTAAAAAAAGTTAACTTTAACAGTAAAGTAATAATTTAGGATTCTTAGATGATCTAATGTAGTGGTTCTCAAACATTAGTGTGCCTCAGAAAAACCTTCAGGGCTTGTTAAAAGTACAGATCACAGGACCCCATCCCCAGAGTTTAGGATTCATTTGTTCTGGGTCCTGAGAATTGGCATTTCTAACAAGTACCTAGATGATGCTGATGCTGCTGGTTTGGAAACCGCACTGGGGAAACACTGGTCTGATGCCATGGTTTTCAACTTTGCCTCTGTGCCTAGTACCCATGTCAGGGCCCACTCTAGACCAGTTAAATCAGAATCTCTGTGGAATATGACCTAGGCTTTTTTTTAAAGCCCCCCAGATGGTTGTGATACGCAGTCAGGCTTGAGACTCACTGGTTCAATACATGTTGGGGATGTAGAACTTTAGGATTGAGAAGCAGATGATGTTACCCTGGGCTGTAGGGGTGTGGAGAGACCACAGGAATGATTTAGCCTGATCTTAAAGAATGATAAGGGAAGAGAAAGGGATGATTTGCATTCTTAAAAAGGTAATGCTGTCAACAAATTCAACCTGTTTTCTAGCTGTTTCTTGGGACAGGCTGATGAGTTTGTGAGCTCTTCATCAGGGACAGGAATGGTTTACCACTCAGCAAGGGGCAGTGCATAGGACTGAGGCACTCATCACCACCATCCATGATAAGCCTTTGCTGACCCCCCCACCTTCCTGATGTAGTTAGAAATCTGTTCATATTCCAACAGGCTTGTATGTGTGTGTAGTTGGAGTGAGGTGTGGCCAGGGGTTGTGGGCTAACAAGAAGCTGAACTTTGAGAAATGATTACCATTTTTACATTTCATCCCTCTAAGCCTGTTTATTCATGTATAAAGTCCTGCACATAGTTGTCAGTATTCAATGTATGTGAATGCTAGTACAATTTTAGGGACATTATTCTGTTTCTCATGGACACCCCCGTACCCCCACCCCCTGTCTATCAGTGAGCCTGCTGACACATAGCATCTGCTCCGTTAATCCATGTTTTTTGACTGAATCAACAAGGTGGTCTTTGAAATCATGCACTTGTGTATTAGCAAGGACAGCAAGAGCTTATTCCCCAGGAGCTTTACGAAAAACTGCCCTGTAGTTCCCCACTCGGGCAAGAAATCTGTTATGTTCGAAATAAAGGAACATAAATGGAACAAATATAGCTGGAAATTCATTGTCTTAATAGGTACTAGTCATAGCTACCTGAGATCTAAAGAGGTCTTTCATTTTCAGTCCTAACTGGTATTTAGCCACATCAAATTTTAGATGTCAGTGTTAAATTTTATTTTTAATTTTATTAAGCTTAATTGATTCTAAAATAACTTGCACTGTAAGAATAGGCCTGTGCTTAATTTCTTAGAACTACTGGAGCCTTTGTTGTAATAGATTTCATAGGGCTCAGAGTTATAAAATTAATATTAGAGAGTTGGTGCTTGTTAAAATTTTGACCTCTGTCTTTTAAAGCCCACTGGAATGATGTACAATGAAATGTCTGTGTTGGTGATAGGGGTTACTGTCCATCCACAGGTCCTTAAGGAAGCATGATACAACTCTGGTCTAACTGCTTCGTCTGGATTTTTGGCTCAGGGCAAAAAGGAGGAGGGCGGTAAAGAGACCTGATCAGACCATTTGATGCTAATTTCACAGGTGGCTGGTCACTGTGTGCCTGCCTGCTGTCATGTATAGAGCTGTAAGTGGATGTAGCTACACACAGGAGCCCGAAAGGAAGGTTTGCATCAGGGTTTAGTGGTAAATGCACAAAAGCAGAATCTAGGAACAAATGGTCATTGCTGAGTGTCCTTGCTCAAGTTAAATGAGATCATTAGTAGCTGTCATGATTTCCACTCTCACCTCATCGCCTTTCCTGAATCCTTTTGAAAACAAGCAACAAACCAGACCAAAACAACCGCGGATACTCTCTCCTTTCCTTTTAATTGGGGTTGATAGGATTTTAGTCAGGTTGAACTGTGTTTTCAATCACAATTTAAAGAGCTACCCACAAAGCTATAAATTAAATAATTAGAATTACATTTGTAAAGTCAAAAAAAAACTTGATCATTTCCTCCTACTCCCTCTCCTATTTCCCATGTTCCCAAAGGGATCTAGCAGGATTACATAACCAGTTTAATTTCACAGCAGTGAAGCTGGGACCAGACTCTGGATCTTGAGTCTTCCCCAGTTTAGCTTTTTCTATCATATTAGTCCTTAATGAAAGTACACTTCTCTTTCCCTGAATTCAAGACTTTGTCTTCATAGCCCAGTAAAAGGTTATCCGTTGTTACGGTATTTTCTAAGAATTACACTTAGAGTTGAGAAATGGTTTTATTTATTTTTATTTCTTGGAATGAAAAATAACATTAAAACAAATTCCTTCTAGTGGTAATACATCTGCCTACCACTACCGGCTTTAGGAGGAACAACAGTGCCTCTTTGTGGAGCGGGGGCCTGTGTGGGTACGGGGGCCAGTGAGGACCACAAACAGCACTAGCTGTGGGCTCTGGGTAGTGGCTATACGCTGGCTGGAGGCACCAGCAGGAACACCTGGAGACAGTGGGTGCTGTGAATCGCAACTTGGCCTTGGCTTCACACTGGAGACCAGCTCTCCTAAGCAGAAGGCTCTTCTTCTGCCCCACCCATGGTGGCCTGTTGGCAAAGAGCTAGAATACTTGTTTGTTTAACGTTTTACTAGCTGATTATACTGCAGGAATTGACAGGCATCTCTATCAGAGGATTTCCAGTCTCTTTGAAGCACTTCGCCACATTACTTGTAATCTAACCTCAGTGTAGACTGCAGTGACTGGTTTTTATTTGTTTTTCTCTCCTTCCCTTCCCACTTGTTTCAAAGGCCACACACCAAGCTGTGGAGAGGGAGCTGCTTATGAGCTGAGAGTTGGCTGCCTTTCTCTGGTCAGCCGTGTGTGACTGCTGGACCAAGTGCCTTTGGGTCAGTCATTCTCAGGTTACAGACCCTGGCATGAAGGCCTGTAGCTGGACACTGTACTTGGGCTTTCGAGTGGAAAGACTTGTAAATTCTCCGTTTGTAAGTGGAGGCAGAGAGATTAACTCGGTGTTTCCAGGCCTTCAGAATAACCTGGGGGAGTTTGTTAGAAATACCGGCTTGTGGCTGCTATCTGTGTCAGGTCGGGTACGTCTGATGGGGGGGCCGGGTTTTAGAACCTTGACCTGAGGGGTATCTTCCAATCTGGATGGTTTTTGCAGGATCCCTACAAGAAGAAGAGGGACTTTTATTTGTAGCTACAGTCAATTTTCAATTATTTGCCTTGTAAACAATCCCAGAGACTTTTCCCTCAGCAGGTTCCCAGGCTCCCTGGCTAGTATGTACCCTGGGGAGTGAAAGATAATTTCCCTCTTAATTTTAGGAAAAGCTAATCAGGGAGGGAAATCTGCCATTGAAGAGAAAGGGGAGTACGGGGGAGGGAGGTTCCTCCCCCCCGCAAAAAAAAAAAAAAATTAAGAAACCTACCTTATATTACAACCAACTCTAACTTTTAGAGAGCATCCTCTGTTGGGAAGGAGCAATGTGTTACGTTGCCTTGACTTTGGGCAGTTGATTCAGGCAGCTATAATTTAGCTGTCTTGTGCCTCACAAGAGTAATTCCCTTTTCTGAAAGGCCTTGTTGATTCTCTAAGAATTATTTAAATGGATTCTAAATATTTAGCTCAGTACTGAGAGTCCAGTTACGTGGATTTGTTTGTGTATCAGCTTTGGCTTAAAGTTGTGTCCCCTGCCCTGTGCCACTCTTACCCATATGCAAATCCACAGTCCACATGCTGGGGTGCTCCCTTGTATGCCCAGCCCTGCCACGTGTTCAGCGTAATCCCTTTGACCCTCTCAAGAGGGTGCTGCTCATCTTTTTTTTGCTTCACTTATCCTGGTTGACATATCCAGACCTGTTGTGACTTGAAGCACCACTGTTCTGGTGGCTCTCTCCTGTGCCTCATTGAGAATCTGTGTGTGAGGCAGGTCATCCTCTGGAGATTAGAGCGTTCGCGGTAGAGGGAGGAATGATTTTACACTGGGACTGCCGGAAGTCTGTTGAGGAGGGACCAGACCTGCGGCGATGGCAGGAGGGGCCTCGGCTCTGGTCCTTGTAACCACATGGTTTGTACTGAGCTGGACACTGGTCACTGAAGTAGACGCTTGTTCTCCAGTTACAGAGCGGAAGATTTCTCACTGGGATTCAGTTTTGTTGACTGTTGCTGCTTGTTGTGCCCACACTGATTTTTGCGGCATCTTTCCCGGCTCTTGAGTCTTTTCCAAGCAGGGGAGATAGCTGAATCCTTTGCCCTCTCCTTCTTTTCTTTTCTCGGATATTCCATGGCTGTTAGGGAAGGACTTCTGTGAAATAAAATGAGGGCAAGAAAGTAGCATGCCTGTGGCATAAAAATGCTCTTAGCAAGCTTGAGGCGTATCAGAGAGATTGGTCCTGAGAGTAACATTGACTGCCTTTCTGCTTTTGAACCTTTTTTTTTTTTTTTCCCTTTACTGTTTCTGAGGTCTGGGATTTATCCTGAATTTAAGAACGGACTGTTTTTGATCATTTGAATAGGTATCACCATTCAGCGGGGAATACATGTGCACACCGAGATGTCTCTTAAAGCCAATTTGTAGTATAAGTCATTTGAAATGATTTCTTTAGTCGGTAATGCATTTCTACTTCAAATTCTCTGCCTGGATTTATGCATTCATCTTCTGTTTTACCAGGTGATTTGCTTTTATTATCCTGCTATGACAGCCCCCTCCCACCTTTAACTACTACCCCCAGACACTTGAGCATGTTTTCCAGTGTGAGTAGGCACTGAACCACCCAAGAATGGCATCAAGTGCCAGCCACACAAGGTTGGAAAGAAGGAGAGCCTCGATTCCAGGAAAATTTCCCCTGCCAGCTTGGTCAGGCTATTGTACAAAAGATTATGTGGCCCTTGGAGAGACTCAGATGGGTGATTGAAGTGCTAATGAGAAGTCAGTCCTCAGCTGCCAGTTGGAAAAGTCTAAAATCAGGGCATGTTCTTTCCTCTCACAACTTGGAGTAACCAGTCAGAAGAAACGCTCTCTTTCTCAAGGTCCAGCTATCCCTTTGATGAGGAGGAGAAAGGGGGTAGATGAAGCTGTCTTCAGTTATGCTGGAGCATCTTGATTCAGAGAGTTTTGGTTTGCCTTGCCTTTTCCTACTTGGGGTTTGGTGCTCTTTTTATTTTGGGGTGTGAGGGGCTTGGCTGAAAGGCTTCCAGCCTTAGACGGGCTCTGAAGGGGTGGCATCAGCGAGACATGTTTTGATTCCACATATCTCGTTTCATTAAGAGGAAATGAGCAGCTGGTTGACCCAGAATAATGCCAAGGGGACCTGGGGAGTTGTTACTTGTAAATGGAAAGGAAAAAAGGAACAGATACTGGAAGGCAGTGGCATGATGAACAGCTGATGCCTTCAGAAAACAGAGCTTGCTTGTCTTCCTGTGATTCTCTCCTGACCATGGAGGAGGTGGAGGGAGGAGGCATGTGGCTTGTTGGCATTGGAGTCAACATTCTACTCTTTTAATTCACTAATTAATTTCACAACTATCTGTTGTGTTTCTACTGTGTGCTAGGTACTATTCTAGGTACTAAGGATGCAGTGGTAAACAAACATAAAATGTCTTTGCCGTCATGATACTTAAATTCTCCTGAGGGGTGGTGGTGAAGACAAGTTTATAATGATGGTGGTGGTGATAAATGGTATGAAAGAAAAAAAAAAACGTGGAAGAAAATGGCATCAGGAGCTATTTCAGTAAGTGTGGTCGTGGAAGGCCTTCTTAAAAATGACCATAAAATAAATAAATGGCCTTTAAAAAAATAGAGTTTTTATTACCTAAAATATTTTAAACACTTCAGTTGTTAAAGTTATGGGATATTAGCATGCATAGAAACTTTTTTTTTTTAAAGTTTATTTACTTATAATCTCTACACCCAGCTTTGCTTAGTGGCAGTATCGTAGCCAATGAGGTTTATCCGAGGTGCGATTATTGCTAATTGAAAACTTTTCCCTAAAATCTCTGCAGCCAACGTGGGGCTCCAACTCACGAGTTGCATGCTCTGCCAACTGAGCCAGCCAGGTGCCCGATAAATTATGATTTTTATTAATTTTTTTAAAGTGGGTCTTGAACTCACCACCCTAAGATTAAGAGTCATCAACTAAGTGACTGAGCCAGCCAGGCACCCCCTACCATGCAGAGAAACTTTTAAATGATTTGTTTTCTCTACAGTTTTGAGGGTATTTTGAGGACACATCTTCCCTTTTTATCCCTGGACATGCAGCCTTTGTTAGCTGGATTAAAATTCATCATTTAGTTGCTTATAGTATAGATTGTGTTAAGACAGTTTGAGATTTTTAGGGTGTACTTTTCATGAAATTGTTGCATGTGATTGCGAGGCTCCTTCTTAGTCCAAATAGTTGTTCAGCAGGGTTTGCTGTTGTTATTTTTGTTTTGTTTTAAGTGGTAATAACTTTTGGGGATCTGAAATGAAGTGAAGGATAAGCAGTACCTGAACAAAGAATCCGTTCTCAAGAGCAGAGTGCCAACAGCGGGAGGCTTAACTCAGCGGTTGGTTGACAACATAACCCAGTGCAGTAGCTTTTCACTTTCAGAGAATGGAATGGTGTGGTGTAGTCTCTGGACTACCCTGATAAACAGGAGTTAAATTTTCTGTTATTTCCTCTGAAAGGACAGTATTGTATGAAAAGAGACCCCTCAGTTGTCTTAGCCTCCTGAAGGCGGGGGGCTCTTTGCTCTTGGATGCCACTTAAGTACATCTGTTCCACAAGACACCCTCTCACAGTGGTTTTTAAAGCAGCATTTCTTAACCAATTAGTGGGTGACAGCATTTTTTTAAAAAGTGGAATCAAATAGGTGATATCAGAGTATATCACACTTAGTAAGAGTGTGTATTGTTTCCGATATGTGTGTATGTACCAGATCCTGATGATAATGTGTTTTTATTGTGTTATGGTTTAAAAAGTTCGAAAAACAAGAGTGTGGGGCACCTGGGTGGCACAGTTGGGTGTCCGGCTATTGATTTCAGCTCAGGTCATGGTCTCAGGGTCGTGGGCTCGAGCCTGCATCGGGCTCCATGTTGAGTGTGGAGCCTGCATAAGATTCTCTCTCCCTCTCCCTCTGCCCCACTCACACTTGCTTGTGTTAGCTCATGCTCTCTCTAAAAAAATTAAAAAAAAAAAAAAAGTTTAAAAAACATAAACCTACAAGATGAGTGTTGGTATCCTTTGACCGGGAAACTAAGATTATAACACTGCTTAGAGTCAGAGTCAAATTGGAACTTTTTCTCCTTCTGGCTTTCCACATTTGATCCAGAACATGACAATTAAATTTTTCACAGGACTTTCCATTTCTGATGATTTTATAAGATTGGCGTCCACAGAGACACTGTCTTGCCCCTGAACATTGTTTTTAAAAATCAGATTACCAGGCCGAAGTTGACTGGTTTCTCAAAACATCTCTGTGTGGTCTGTTTCTGGAGAAGGGAAAAGAAAGATGAGCCTAGTTACTTTTCTTTTTTAACAAACAAGGAAAATCTAGAAGCTCTTTCCTTTTCACAGAAAGATAGCCTACTTTTATCCAAGAGGAGAAACTAACTGGAAGCAGAGCAGGCTGTCTCTAGAGCATTCAGGAGAATTTGGTGTTGCTGAGACCAGTTCTGGTGTGGTGAGTGGGTAGACATAGCAAAAGGAGTCCACCACCTTGCATAAAATGTTTTGGTTTTCATTAGTAAGGCATACTTTTACATAGACTCAGTAACATTTAGTATAGTAACTACCATTTTAACATTTGTCACCAGTCTTACCCACATCCCCAGCGTCCTGGGAAAGAGGCGGCACTTTCACCACTGTTTTAGGCAGCTATTTTGGCCTTAAAGGACAGACTTTTTAGAGAGGCATTATTTTCGCTGGCATGCCTTCCTTCTTGCCTGTAGTCAGTCTTAAATGAATTCCTGATTGGTTCAGCTACACTTTTTCTTTTTTGCACAGAAGAAATTGTTCTTGCCCAAGATGGCAGAAAAGTATAGTGAAAACCTGCTGCCCTCTTCCTTATCTTCCTCCCTGTCTATTTTGTTACCCCACCCCGCCCCAAACCAACCCCCCAATAAAACGTGACCTTTTGGCCCAGGGCCCTATCTGAGTGTTTTGTGTGGCAGAGCTGTCTCTGGCTGACTCCCAGGATTGTTAATGACTTCCTCCTCTGTCTCTAAATAATTGCTTGAAAAGACAGCTGTGGAGAGACATTACCCCCAGCTTGCAGGCTCATTAATTCCAGCCATATGGAAGAGGGTGCAAAGGAAGAAGGTGGAAGTTACTTTGCCAAGAGTAGCAGGTTGGGGAAAACAAAACCTAGAGGCTTTAGGGGAAGGGCGACTCCACTATGTTGGAGATTTGATGTGGAGTTGGTGAGGTCTGAGCAGACTTCAACCTAAGGCAGCTTCCTGCATTAAATCCCAAATACAGGGAAACAAAGTAAGAAACGATTATTTGGTTTCTAAAGTCCTTCCAGTTGCGTTCTTCTGGTGTTGAGTATAACTTAGCTTATAGGATACCTGGTTTTGTGCAACTCTTCAAGAACAGAAACATCCAAGTGAAGTGGAAAGTCTGAGGAACTAAGAGGGAAGACACCCAAGAGATTCCCCAAAGTCAGCCATCATGGACTTGGCCATTATTCATAATTTCTGCTTTTGTCTGTTCCCACAGTGGCCTTGAAGCAAGTTTCAAAAAAAGAAACTTTCATACTATGCTCCTTTAAAAAAAGAAATACAACTAGGGAACAAATATTCTAATTAGCTGTTTGGTTCAGCTCTTAACACCTAGCATGTGGGCTTGTAAAGGAAAAGGGGGGGGCGCCTGGGTGGCTCAGTCGTTAAGCATCTACCTTCAGCTCAGGTCATGATCCCAGGGTCCTGGGATTGAGCCCCACATCGGGCTCCCTGCTCAGCGGGAAG